CTCAGGGTCTGTGGATTGCCCCAAATCTCAAGGACCCCCTTCTCCCCATCTCCACCCATAAGCCGCCCTCCGTCCAGCCTTCACGGGAAGGATGTTGGCTCCCTGCTGCTGGTTATAAAGATACTGCAAAGCGAGATTTTAGGTTGGGGGCATGGCACCACAGAGAATTTATCTAGCTTACAGATGGCGTGTGAACTGTCTTCCTCAGCCCCTTCCTCAGCCTGTGTACATAGCTGGAGCCCTGGCCTAGCCTCGGGAGGCTGTCCCACCGCTATCCAGCCAGAGTGGGGTCTACCTGGAGCCCTTCAGCTTGGACGGGTGTGAGGTAGTTGGCCCCAGAGGCGCTGAGGGGAGCCCTACCAGGAGCTGAGAACTAGCTGTGCCCACCTGTCCCTCAGGCAGCACTGCCAGGTGGCCGGTGGCCTGGTAGTGACCACATGAGGGGGTCGTCAGGTTGGGGGATGGGCAGAGGGAGGACTGTATTGTCCACCGGGCTTGAACCCAGGGAAGGCTCATTAGTGAAACACTTTGGACCCGGGGGGCTGGTGAATGGGGTTTTGAGAGCTCGGATGTCACTGAATCTTAACACTTGGGGATAGGGATTGTCAAATCCTGCTGTCACCTGGTATAAGGGAGGCTTGGGCTGAAAGCCCGAGCCCGAGTCAACCTGCAGGGTGCCGCGCTTGGCTAGAGCAGTGGGAGGGAGCTTCCTGAGACCATCTGCGTGCAGCCGGAGGACTCCCACCAGCCCCCAGCGCACAGCCTTCACCACACGCTCAGGCCCCTGCAGGCCCCACGCAGAGCCCTCTACATGTGAGCGGACAGGACGTGGGACCAGAATGTGATAACGTACACAGCACGCCCAGTCGGCTCTCTGCCTGTGGGGTCCAGTTTCCACATGTGCCTCACCTTTCCCTCCTGCTGAAAGAGCGGGGCGGTCACCCATGGGGAGTCCTGGAGAAGTCTGAGTGGCCAGTGGGAACCTGGGGATAGGCTCTTGGGGTCCCACTCCAGGCTCTGCATCTCTGTGTGACTTTGGTGCTGTCTCCTCATCTGGAGGTGGGGTCCCTCCAGGAGCTGCATGACAGGGCTCTCGGGGAAGTAAACAGGTCAATGCAGGCTCAGAGCTGGGCACACAGTGATGTAGTCCATGCTGTGGGCTCTCCGTGTGGTGATGGTGCAGTGTAGGCCGACTCAGCAACAGAGGACACTAACAAGGGGTGGGATGGCTCCTTGGCGAATGCTCTCAATGACTTGCCCCTGAGGTCACTGGATTGTGGGCAGGGGCAGAGAGGAGAGGGGGTGGGAGGGGGCAGGGGCTGGGAAAATGAAAGCCACAGCTCGCTTTGATCAGGCACACAGCGTAAGAGCTCCGCATGGGTCATTCCAGCCCTATAAGGAGGTACGAATAAAATCCACACCAGCCTCCCCATTCTACAGACGAGAAAACGGAGGCCAGGAAAGAGTTCATAGCGTGCTCAAGTCACGCAGCCAGCAAGCACCGGATGAGAACTTCAAACCCATCCCACCATCCTGGGCCACCATCCCAGCCCAGGGGCCTGGTTTGTCTAAAAGGGGACATTTTCTGGGTTGAGGTCAGGACGGATCTCTGGCAGGGGAAGGAGGCCAGGGCGGGAGGCGTCTCAGAGGCTTGCAGATACGTGCTTACGGCCACTGACTCACGCGGCGACACACTTCCCATTGCCTCCCCATCCTCCTGCTCAGAGGGGTAAGCTCAGGGACCCACAGGCTTCTCTCTCCTCTCCGTATGTGCTGGGCCTCCAGAGACAGCTTCTATCTGGAATTAACAATGTTTCTAGTATATTCACTTCTGCAACTACCTTCTATTGAGGACAAGTGATGCTAATAGACACGAGCTCTGTTTCCCCAAAAGACACAAGCTACTTCTTGAAACAACACCTTCAGTGAAGAGACGTGACTATGAGCAAGTGACATGGGATATAAGAGACACATGCAGATTCAAGGTAAGCATCACGCAGTGTCCCTGAGTCTCAGAGGGTCCGGACAGGCAGGGGGAGGCAGTGAGGAGGAGCAGAGTCAGGGAGGACAGATGGAACACCAGGCCTGCCTCCGTCACACCCAAGGAGTCCCTGTGACTTTCGGTGAGGACTTGGATTACTGTTATGCAAAAGGTGGGCTGGTCTGTAGGGTGCTGCCTTCGCTGAGCTACTCCGCACACAGCCAGGTGGGAACTGTGCGTGTGCCACGGAGACAGCATCCCAGGCAGGACGGTCCTGGACACGCCTCCAATGTTCTAGTCAATCCCGCCATCCTCATGCGGCACAAAAGCAAGCAGACAGCGCTGTACATAGGCTGATATACTCCCTCACCGATTCCTCTTAATGATCTCACTTCCTGCTCAGGATGTCTCTGGGCGGCTTCGCAGCCTTGGCCACTCACTGTCACAAAACTCCAGGAGGGTCCCTCTGCTCAGAGCAATAGTGGAACAGCAAAGCTGGTCCCCTCCCAAAAGGCCAGAGCCCTGCTAGGGAGGGACAAAGACGACCCCAGTGCAGAGAGACTTCCTCCCAGACCCACTCACCCCGAAGGATGGGGATCAGAGCCAGGGTAGTATATTAGGGGACAGGACAGTGCACGGGGGTTGTGAACCCTGAGACCCAAGGTGGAGGAGGTGACATAGAAATGGTATGCATGAGCTAGTACTTGGGCCACCATGAAAGTGGCCACTGTTCCCAGAGGTAAGGAGCTCAAAGGGAAAGCGTCGAGGTATCAGGTGCCGTCCGGGAAGGAAAAGCAACTCAGGAAACCCAGAGTGTGTGGAGCCAGACTTGGCAACAGTCACATCAGTCGTGACAAATACCCTCTGGGAGACAAGAGAATGTTACTAATATGAAGCAGGAGCAAGCAGTTAAAAGAAGACCTTAAGAAAATGCCGGAATGGAAATATAATAAATGGAAACAATGAAGACCTTAATAGATCGGAAAAACAGACTTAATGAGCCGGAAGATGAGGTAGAGGAACACACGCTCAGAAGGTGGGAGGGAGAGAGCTGGGAAATGTAAGAGAGAAGTTCAGAGTTGTGGAGGATAGACACTCCAACACCCAAGCATTAGGCTCTCAGCAGAAGACACACCATGGAGCAGGAAAAACGAGCCAAGAAACGACCCAAGTTTTCTAGGATTAAAGATTGAAAAACAGAAAAATGGGGAATGAAAATACCCACCCTGCAGATGCACGATGAGCTTTATATCCTTAAGTGGGTAAAGACCTCCGAGAGGCTCCTGGGAGAAACACTCTCCCACCCAGAAGAAGCAGGACTTCCCCGCCACCACAGCAGGCACGAAGATGAAAAACAAACACAGTTGACCCCTGAACAACACCAGGGTTAGGGACACCCACCCCCCACGCAGGTGATAATCCACAGATAATTTCTGACCCCCTGCAAAAACTTACCCACCAATGGCCTACCATTGCCTGGAATAGCCAGGAAAGCCAACCAACCCATATTTTGTATGTTGTATGCATTATATACTGTAGTCTCACAATAAAGTAAGGTAGCAAAAAGAAAGAACTTAAGAAAACCACGAGGAAGGGAAACTGTATTTACTGCACCGTACTGCACCAAATCCGGGCCTGAGTCCACGCGGTTCAAACCTGTGTTGCTCAAGGGTCCGCTGAACTCTCAGCATGCTGACAGAAGATGCATGGAAGCCTGAGATTCCGGCTGAGCGGTCATTGACCGTGAGGACAGCCCATGGCTGCAGGGGGCCCGCCCCACACGGACCCCCTCGGGAAGCACGTGGGGGAGAATAGAGCAAAATAAAAAATAAAGCGAGAGAGTGCTGAGACGGGGGGCAGGGTAGGAGTGAGTTAGTGACGTACTAACACTTTTATTTAAAAGAGTAAAAGGAGAGGGAGGGAGAGACAGCACTCAATCTGTAAAGATCCAGAACGGAGTCTAGATGCCTGCAGGTCGGTGGGGCTGAAAGCATGCTCAAGGAACGGTCTTGTTGTCGGGTGACAGGGCTGATGAGAAGCTTAGGAAGCTGGCAGGGCAAGAGTCACTATAACATGGGTCTTCAAAGTTACTGTTTATCCCTTGAAACCTGAGAACAGCATACCAACCAGCAGAAGGAAACGAGACGCACCCGGGGGAAGCGAGCAGAGAACAAGGCAGCAACAGGACGCATTGGATGGAAACCAGGACGACCGACAACGGGACTGAGCCCTGACGATGATGACGAGAAATGCAAACCGACTTCAGGTCATTAAAAAACCCTGACTCGGCAACGCCTCTGAAGAGGGAATATGCTCAACAGAGGGATTCAGAAAGGAAGGGCGCGAGGGGACAGCTACGGAGTGAGCAAATGCAAAATGGAACTGAATTTGAGGCGATGGGATCTACAGCAGATAGAATTTACACAAGGAGAACTGTCATACAAGAGAAAGGGAGGGGAGATTACATTCAGGTGAAAGAGACAATAGAGCAAGGGCATGCCAAGGTAGTAAACACAGGCGTGCCTCCGAAGACCACAGGTGTCAGGACCTGTCCTCCCTCAGCAGAGCACCATGGGAAACAACAACAACAACAACAACAAACAAACATGGCCCCCAGCTCATCAGCAAAGGCCAATGGAGACCCCAGATTTCTACCCTTGCCTAGCTATAAAAAGATGCCCCGCCTGGGCCTAGCAAGGTCATATCCATGGAAGCCTAGAGAGAGCTTAACCTGCTCCCACCCTGGGGGGTGGGGGAACAAGGCACCCTTGTCAAGAATGGCCAGATAGGGAACCTGGACCTCCTTCCACACCTGGCTGTTATAAGGTGATCCCCCTTTCCACCAGCGGCCTGGTTTCAGAGGAGGCCAGCTAAAACAGAAACTTTAAATTAAGACCAGAGTCTCAGCACAATCCCAAATATCCAGGATACAACCAAAAATCACTTGTCATGTTAAGAACAAGAATCTCCATCTCAATGAAAAAATTTGATCAACAGACTGAACACAAGAAGACATTACCTGACCCTTGGAAGCCACCATCCGAAGACATGCTTTTATCATTGTTAGGACTCAGTCCTGTCATTGCTCTTTCTGGTTTCCATTTAATGTATCTTGTTGCAGTTAGAGCAATTAAAAACACACTTGAAACAGAAATAGAAAAGTATCAGCAAAGAAATAGAAGATATAAAAAAGAACCAAATGGGAATTTTGGGAACTCAAAAATAACTGAAATTTTAAAAAAGAAACCTCGGTGGATGGGCTCAAATTAGAACGGAGAGAACAGAGGAAAGAGTTAATAAACTCCAAGATAGAACGGTAAAAATGACCTGGTCTGAACAGTGAGGGAAGAAAAATGTGCAGAATCTTAGGGACAGGTGGGTCTATAACAAATGATCTAACATTTAGGTCACTGAAGGCCCAGGAGAGGAGAGAGAGGGTGGAGCTTAAAAAGGAGTCAACAAGATAATAGCAGGAAATTCCCCAAATTTGGCAGAAGACAGAAACCTACAGATTCAAGAAACTGAGCGATCCCAAATGAAGTAAGTTCAAAAAAATCCATACCAAGATACATCATAGTCCAACTACTGAAAACCAAAGATAAAAAAAAGTCTTGAAGGCAGTGAAAGAGAAAAAACATCTAATCTGTAAGAGGAAAATAATTCAAATGATGTGTATTTCATTAAAAGTCTATATAGAGAGATACACTTAGGGATGCCTGGGTGGCTCAGTCAGTTAAGTGTCTGACTCTTGATTTCAGCTCAGGTCATGATCTCAGGATTGTGATATTGAGCCCCATGTTGGGCTCCTCGCTGGGCGTAGAGCCTGCTTGAGAATCTCTTTCTCTCCCTCTTCCCCTCCCTTCAGCCCCCACTGGCAAGTGTTCTCTCTCTCTTCTTCTCTCTCCCTCTCTCAAAGAGAGAGAGAGAGAGAGAGAGGGAGAGAGAGAGATACAATCAAAAACACTACAGATAAATGTTCAAGCAACCCTTGGGAAGGCAGGTAAAAGAAAACAGAAATGAAAAACAGAGGGAACAAGTAGAAAACTAAAAACGAAATTGCAGATTTAAGCTCTAACATAGCAATAATTACATTAAATGCTAATAGCTTCACATACAGTATGATTCTATTTATACAACATTCTCAAAATGCTGGAAGTATAGAGAAAGAGAATGTACTAACAGTTGCCAGGAGTCAGGGATGGTGGTGTGGGGGTGGGCAGGGAAGGGCTAGGACAAGAGTGCCTAACAGGTATAGAAATGCAAACTGTATTTTGTATGGTGCGGGGGTGAAGAGTTAGGACAAGAGTGATCTTTGTTATGACAGTAGTTCTGTGTCTTGATTGAGGTAGTGGTTTCAGAAAGCCACATGTGTGACACGCTCACATGGAACTATATCCACATGGCCCCAATCTCAGTCTCCCGTTTGCTGTTGCTCTGGGGTAAGGCAAGGTGCAACCATGGGGGAAAATGGGTGAATGGTGCACGGACCTCCCTGTACAGCCTTTGCAACTTCCTGGAAACCTATAATTTCATGATTAAAAAAAAATTAAAGATTATAAGTTACACATATTTTAAAAGGTCAATACACTTGTAAATGAAGGAGAAATAATCTGTCTCTCACCATGTCGATACTTGGGTACGCCTTCCCAGAAGATGTGATGGCATCAGATGTCGAACTATGATCAAGAAGTCAGGATCTGAGAAATAATATCAGAGCCATTTCCATTTAAAGAAAGACAGGAAAATGAGAGGGGAGGTCACAGTCACTAGTGTGGAGTACACATTAAAATGATGCAAACATGCTTTGCGTCTCTGAAAAATGAGTTCATTTCTAGGCTTCGATAACTATCCTTGGTTTCTCACCTCCACGAGCTTCCAGGGGGACAAGTGAAGGACCGGGAAATCAAGGGCAGTCCAATGGGAGGGACACCCGCACAGTGTAAATCACTTAGCTTCTGCAGTCCACTCATGAGAAGTCAGTAACACTATTCCAACACATCAGAAAAGCCCCAGAATGTTTCTGAGACTCCATGCAACATCCCCACCCCACTGGAAAGGACACCTGGCTCTCCTGGGGGCACTGCTCCCCTGAAGTCCTTTCCAGCATCTTCTTTCATATGCCCACAGGTGCCTCTTTTCCTCACGGCTCATTCCATGCCACTGTCCTTTGAGGGTCACATAAGACTACGTGGCTGGTACTCCGTCTGGACACCGTCCTCTCTCCTTTTGTCTTAGGATTCAGCAGGTGATCTAGCAGCTTTCCTCCCCACTTTTCCTGTCCTATTTCTTTGTAATTCCCACATTTGCACAGATGGACCTTCCAGCCAGCTCTCTGTTCTGTGTCCTTCTCAGTGCCAGTCATCTCTTCCTTACCCCAATCACCCATTCCCATGGCCAAACCCAGATCTAGTCATTTCTCTAAGTACACCCATTCCTCAATAAATGGAGAGTATTTCCTTTTCCAACCAGTAACTCCCATCTTCCCAGGTCATTTTTTTCAGCCAAGGGTGGAGGGCCCTACTAGGACCTTCAGCAGAGCAATTTTGAGCTATGAACTAAATGTACAGACAGCTCGGTGAGTGGATTCTAAACATTATGTGGCCTGTTAAAGAGCAAAGAAACTTGAGTTGATATAATAGGTCATTTGTGTAATTTCTAAACACAAACAAGCAAAACTTACTTTACAAGGCTACATGCGTGCATATTGGAGGAACTGCTTCAAATAGACTATGGTGTTGGCCCATGACAAAGGCAGGGGAGAGGAAAGGGTGCAGGTAGCAGGGTTGAAGGGCAACAGAGAAAGAAAATAAAAGTGAAAAGAGATAACAAATGGAGGGGTCTTACCTGGCCAAAAAGAGTGTGCCGTGCTAAAGAATAGTGAGCAGCTTACGTCTGAGATCCTTCAGAACGTTAGAAGTCAGACCTAAGAGTCTGGGCAGACCCACAGCTCATTTGGCCTCATGCAATACCTCTCCCATGGTTGGGGCCGGCAACAGGAGGATTGACTGATTAGCCCTGGAAAAGGTGGTGGCAGGCCCTGCAGGGTGGCCAAAGGGAGCGGGGACAGAAGGGATCAGGCTGAGGGTCTGCAGTGGGGGCAGGGGGCAGAGGGCAGTGTTCTGGGTTGAAGGGAGGTGCAGGTACACAAACGTTGAACCTGGAGGCCCCTTCTGATGGAAGGGCTTGGCACCTCTCCAAGGGAGGAGTTCCTCTGGACAGTCCCCCCACTGCAGCCAGGGAGACAGAGCCTGCGGGAATCTGTCATTCCACCTGGGGACAGTGGCCAGAGACATCCTTGCTCCAAACTGGAGGTTCTGAGCCGTATGGGGGTGGGGGGTCCCATGGGGTAAGGAAATACACTGGAGGTCATGGTGTCCAGGAGCTAGATCAAAGCTGGAGAAGTTCCAAGGCCAGACTGAAGGCACTGGGGCAGCTGGAGGGGGAGAGCCCCATCCAGACAGGACTGCCCAAGGGTGCCCATGTGTAACTTCAAGGGGGCTGGGTACCCAATGCAGGGGTGGACAGGGGGTTTGTGTGCTGGTGTCACATAGGCTCAAAAGCTTCCTGTCTGCCCTGGAGGCAGCTGGAGACACGTGGATTTCCTCTGGGGGCTGGGAGGCTGGGGCATGTGTTTCTGCGTAGCTCGTTACTGAGCAGCTGCCCCCATTGTGGACGGGACCCTTTCTGTTCCTCTGCAAGCCCAGTTACATGGGTCTGGCTTGCTGTCCTGGCTCCCCTCCTGTGGGGTGGACAGAGGCTGGAGGAGAAAGAGGAGGAGCGGGGAGAGGTGTGTGACAAGCCTGGGGAGGGGCCGGGGCGTCAGGAGAGGGCCAACCACACAAACTAGTATCGGATAGAGTTAGGGCTAGGGGAGTATGTAGCATTTCTTTAAGTTGTCCTTTCCTACCCTTATGAACCCCCCCCGCCCCCACCCCAGTGTGGAAAACAAGAACCTGAGAGGATTAATGGCCGGGCTCCAGAGGGACCTGGGTGGGTACAAGGAAGAAAAAGAGGAGACAAACTCCAAATCCTCCCTACCTCCCACCCCAGCCTCGCAATAGTCAGGAACATAATGGAAATGGGCAGAATAAGGGGTTCTCCTTGGAAAGGGAGAAAGTACCCTTCCACTTTCTCAACACCCACCCCTCCCTGACCAGCACCACCCCCCCAAGAGCCTTCCTCAGCAAGTCAGTAAGTGATAAGAAGTGTGCCAAGGTCAGGGCCATAGTTCAGAAATGCACCCCTGTGGGTAGAGACCAGCCTCGAAGAGCTTTGGCCCGGAGGGATGAAGAAAAGGAGGGGTCATAGCAGCAAATTAGGGGAAAGGCGACACCCCTTAAAACTAGGGGAATGCAGTGGGCAGGGAGAGAAGTCACGGGCTTCAGCTATGCTTAGGAGTCCACACTGGAGTCCTTAGCAAGCAGGTGTTGAAGAAAGAGTCCAGAATGGAGCGTGGGTAGAGATGGACCCACAGACACTCCAAGAACAAGGGGAAGACAATGAACCTGGGAAGGACAGCCAGTTCTGTGTGAGTCAGTTAAATTTCTTCCACATTTCCCAGGGCAGCTGATTGCATTCAAGACCTCAGTTCTTCCCTCTCCCTGTAGCCCCACCCCAGGTGACCCACTCAGGCTCCAGGATCAAGGGACACAGGCAAGTATAATGTGAACAGAGGTTTCAGATGGGTACTTTCAGTCTGGTCAGAGCCTCTGTGATTGCCCTGAGAACATGCTGAGGGAGGGTAAGAGAATGAGCACAGAGCTAAGACACTCCACTGGTTATGAGTCAGCCCTGAGCCCGTGGACCTGCAGATGTGTGTGAGCCCAGGAGAGGTGGATTCAGTCCCACTGAATCTTGGGTGACGTAGCCTGGGATCTGGGGCTGAGCACATTCTCCAGCTGATTCTCACGCACACTAACCACTGGGAAGAACTGGGCTACCTGAGCGGCAGGGCCTGCCGGACCCCAGCTGGGAGCAGAGCAGAGGTGAGAAGAACCTGGTCGGTTTGTAAGCTAGGAGACATTTGCTGTGTGTTATGCAGGAGGAGCTGTGTTGTTCTTGTCACACATCGTTATTTTGCAATAGATGACTGACACGCTTTGCCCCACTCCTACCTTCCTCAGAATAAATTCCCAGGGCTACGGTAAGGAAAAGTCAGAGGATAAAGAAACAGGGTGCTCTATCCTGTTCCCTTCTCCCCAGGACACATTCTGAGGGACCAGCCAGCAGGACAAACTGGAGGGAAGAGGACAGCTGTGGTCACCTCTGCCCCCTGGTAGAGCAGGAAGGACATGAAGGCAGTCATGGGAGGGGTGCAGACACAGGGCCGGGCAGAGGGAGCAATCGGCTGCCCTCTAGGCAGCGGAGATGTGCTGGGATTCAATATGTACACCTGAAGACGTGAGACTGGGATGTAGAACAGAATTAGACTATGAACAGGAGCCAGGTGAGAATGCAGGTGTTTAAATAGACGTGTCCATGGACACTAGAGGCTATAAAGTCTGGCAATGAAGAGCAGAGCAAAGGGGCCCAGCAGGAAATGGACCAGACAAACCCACACCATGCTTGTACCTGTAGGCCTCAGTGCCCACCTGGCCTGGATTCAGCCTTACTGCACAGAGGATGGGGTAGCTTGGGCCACCTAAGAAAAATTCTCCCTGTCAAGTAAAATGGGGGCAGATAGAAATGATGCCAGGTGATGGGGGGTGGGGAATAGAAGTTCTCAGTATTGAATAAGAAGATTCAAGTCCATTGAGAAATGGGGAAAACCTAAAACAAAAGTCATTTGTGGGTTGAAAAAACTGCTTGTGGATTGGAAAATAGATATTCTTAAAATGTCCATACTACCTACCACAATCTGCAAATTTAATGCAAGCCCTAGCAAAATTCCAATGGCATTTTTCAGAGAATAAACAATCCTAAATTTTCATGGAAACACAAAAAGCCAAATAGACAAACAAATTTGAGAAAGAACAAAGCTGGAGGCATCACACTCCCTTATTTCAAACTGTATTATCAAGCTATAGTAATCAAAATAGTACAGTATTGGAATAAAAACAGACACATAGATCCATGGAATAGCCTAGGAATAAGCCCATGCACTGATAGTCAATTAATTTACAACAAAGGAGTCAAGAACGTACAATGGGGTTAGGGACAGCCTCTTCAATAAATAGTGCTGGGAAAACAGGACAGCCACATAAAAAAGAATGAAACTAATCCACTATCTTACGTCACACACAAAAATTAACTCCAAGTGGATAATAGACTTGAACTACCGTATGATCCAGCAATTCCACTTCTGGGGGTTTATCCAAGGGAAACAAAGACATTGACTCAAAATGACATCTGTACTCCCATGTTCACTGCCGTGTTGTTTACAATAGTCAAGATATGGAAGAAGCCACTGATGGATGAATGGATAAAGATGTGGCATGTGTACACACACACACACACACACACACAAACACACACGCTGGAACCTTATTCAGCCATAAAAAAAAGAATAAAATCTTAAAAAAAAAAAGAATAAAATCTTGCCATTTGCAATAACATGGATGGATTTTGAGGTCATAATGCTAAGTGAAAAAACCCGAGAAAGAAAAAATACCGTATGATCTCACTTCTGTGCAGAATCTAAAAACCACACCAAACAAAGCCAAGTTCACAGAAATAGGGAACAGACTGGTGGTTGCCAGAGGCAGAGTGGGGGGTAGGGTTGTAAAATAGAGGAAGGGGGCCAAAAGGTACACATTTCCAGTTATAAAATTATTAAGTCTTAGGGATGAGCTATACAGCATATTGACTCTAGTTAATGCCACTGTAATTCAAAAGAAAAAACGTC